GCAAGCTGGGTCTTTGGTCCTTAAAGGAGAATCCTTACTAATGATGTCAAATGTCAGCAAATGAGCGTCTTGCAAGGCTGCTTAGAGGCCCTGGAGGGAATATCTGGTTCATATAGATTTGGTTCTTAAACTTTTCTGGTTGCTCTGGCTCAGGGTTTCTCAGCCTTGCACTATTGACACTTGAAGCTGAATGATTCTTTGCTATGCGGCTGTCCTGGGTTTTCAGGGTATTTAGCAGCATCCCTAGCCTCCTCCCACTAGATGCTAGTGGTGTTCCTCCAGACCAGCGTGACAACGAACAATGTCTCTAAACACTGCCCAGTATCCTCTGGGGGTCAAAATCGCCCTAGTTGAGAACTGCTGTGTTATTAAGGTTGAACATAGTACCCCATGCTGGCCATCAAGAGAGTGCTCACAAAAGTGTTTACAGCTGGCCTAAAGTTTGCCTGGGATCTTCATTTGATTCCAAAACCACGAGGATCCCTCTGGAGTCATGTACCCTTTACAGTCTGTTCAAATTTTGTTTCTCTTTGATTGAATCCATAGGAAATCCTAAGAATTCACCTTCAGGTTTAGCCATTGATGGATCTCACTCATTTCCACTTTGTTCTTTCAGAATATTGTCTGCTTTAACCTAAATTGTTCATACAACAGCCCCTGCGCCCACGACGCTCACAAATGCCTGCAGCTGTGAGCACAGTACTTATTCTCCAAGGAGCCCGTGGGCATCACAACTGCAGAGAGTGAAGGCGTATGGAATGTTTCCCAAGTGAAGTTTGGTGTGCCTGCAGCGAAGGATGTATCTTGCTGTGTGTAGGATAATAGTGTTCAACATGTAGGATAGAGGTAATTACTAAAAGTCTCACTGTGCTCTTCTCATGAGTTTGGACTCTATGTTGATTCTTAACCTGGAGGTGACTTTGTCCCCAGGGCATATTTGGCAATGTCTGAGGACATTTTGGGATGTCACAAATGGAGGTGGTAGTGTATTAATTTCCTATCACTGCTGTAATGACCACAAACTTAATGGCTTAAAGCAGCACAGATTTACTGTCTTACAGTTCTGGACCTCAGAAATCCCATCAGGTTTCACCAGACTAACTTCAAGGTGTTGGCCTGTGTTCCTTCTGAAGGCTCTAGAATCTGTTGTTCCTTTTCTAGTGGCCCCCTTCTTCATTTTCAAAGCCATCCATGTTGCATCTTATCGACCCTTCTTGTGTGGTCATTTCTCTCACTGACTCTTTTCAGGACTCTTGAGATTGGTCTCACCTGGATAATCCAGGATAATCTCATTATTTTAAAATTGGCTGATTAGTGACCTTTAATTCCACCTGAAACCTTAATTCCCCTTTGCTATGATGTATTCACATGTTTCAGGGATTGGGGCATGGGCATTTTTGTTGGGACATTATTCTGCCTACCACAGGGGAGTTCCTACTGGCATCTAGCAGGGAGGCTAGGGTTGCTTCTAAATACCGTACAGTGTACAGCCCCACAAAGAATAATCATCTGGCAGTTAATGTTAAGAGTGTTAAGACTGAGAAACCCTGCTGTAGAGAGTGGGGGAGATTGGTGATTTTTAAGCATGAGGGTATAGCATGATCAGATGTGTTTTAGAGCTAAATTGGTGTCTGGGGGAGCATGGATTGGAAGCATGAAAGAAGTAGAGGACAGACCCTCAGAGGAGATGGGCATGGGGAAATCATGCCAAGAATCCTGTAAACCATTGGTAGTTGGCATATAAACATAATAGTTTTATATTTCCCACATCTCCATGTTAGCAAATTGTTCTCTTGCACTGTTGATCTCCTGGAAAGCAGAACTGTTACTCATCTTTGAATTCTTAAAATCCGGCCCCTATACTCTGGGGGTTTTAGAGAGATCATCATAAAGACCAGTAGTTCTCACCCAGGAGAAAGTTTGTACCCTAATGTATATTTGGCAATGCCTGGCATCATTTTTGATTGCCACAACTGGAGCAGGAGTGTGCTACTGGCATCTAGTGGGTATAGGGTGAGGGTACTGAAAACACCCCAAAACAACCACAAACAAATACTTATCTTGCATAAAATGTCAGTAGTGCTGAGGTTGAGACGCCCTGTATACAAGACACTGAATTCTAGGTTTTGCTTTTCAGTACCATTTTTTCTCATGCTTGTGGCTTTACTCTTGGTCATTTGCTTCTTCTTACCTAGTATATGTCAACCAAGGCTTTGAAATTGGAAAAAATGACTTTCAAAAGGTATTGAGCGTATGAAAAAAATATGCAATGTCTAAATATATCTATTGGGAAGAATTGAATGGTAAATATATAATGATGGAGACTGGAATTAAATTTTAAAATGCAGCAGAGAGGAATATTGTGTTTAAAAATAGAGGCTCACTCATGTCACCAAAGAGAAAGTAATTAGAATAAGACAGCTTCAAAAATAAATTGACAGAGTGTTTTGCGAGGATTTTTGTGTGAAATCGGTATAATGCTTTACGGTTTTTAAGTTAGAAAAAAAGTTATTCAACTTTCACACACACAGTCTCTCAGACTAACTCTGCTAGAATTCCTTCGGAAGGCAATTTTAAATTTAGAGAATACTCTGAAGATCGCTTCTCAGATGCCTTAGAATTGAGTTTTCACCAGCATTTTGGGATCTGAGGGTTGGAAAGAGCAAAGTTTAGACTCAGAAAGAACCTTGGGTAGTATCTAGCTCCAAACTGCTTATTTTACAGTTGAAGAAAGGGACTGTAAAGCTTATGCCACTCAAACTCAGGCAAAGAGCCAAGGGCAGAACCACCCTGAAATTCTTCTTGACTCTATATAAACTGCCAAGCTTCTGGAAAACATAAGTGGCCATGACTACTTTTATTCTCTGGTGAGCGCCTTAAACCTTGGCAATCTCTTTTCTATCCCCTCTACTTACTGAAACCATTCTCTTAAAGTTCCCTAAGTTCCAAGAATCTTCTTAGGCTCCTTTGGCTAGACTTCTGGGCAAAACTGAGAGCATCATCTCCCCTCCCTCCTCGTCCTATCCCCATCACACACAGATAATCTCAATTTTCTGCTTACCTTTCTTGCTACTCTTCTGTCTCCAGGAATTGCCTTTGGACATCCCTACAGTTCTGTGATTTTCCTTCAGGTCATTGTCCCTCGATTGTCCCATTTACTTTTGTGACTTCAACCGTCATCCCTCTAGGGGAGACTCCTCACTCTGTGCCTAGCCAGAATCTTGTAGTTGAGCTCCCAATATATATTTTCTGATTTCTTCCTAGATATCTGCTCATCATGCCCAATGGGCTCAAATTCTACATGTCTGAAACAGGACAAATCAGCTCCCCTTTCCTCTGAACATGTTTCATTTTATGTGTTCCTTATTTTGGTTGGTATCACCATTTTTCTGCTTGCCTAGGTTTACCAGACCAGAATGCCTTTACTCCTCCCCCTTTTGTTTCCTCTTCTCTTCTTCCATAAGTTTTCAAATCCTGTAGTGTGTACTTCCCATTTGCTCCATTCTAAACAGGATTTGAAGTAGAATGTGTCTGAGTTCTTACATCCCTCTCCAACTGTTCACTCACAATGTCACTGCCTAGTTTGGGTCCTCATTTGCTGTGACCCCTTTCTTAGTCACCCTGCCTTCAGTTTCTCCCTGTTGCCATCTTGATGTTAACCTCAGATGACACAATTGTAATCATGTTAATCCCTGATTGAAAACATTTGATGGGTCTCAGAGTGTACAGAATAAAATCCGAATTACTTAGCTAGTCATTTCAATGCCTCTTACAACATAATCTCAGCCTGCCTTCTCCCAGGAAATCTAGTCCAGCAAAGCCAAGTTGGCCACTCACCCGGTTAGTCATCAAATATTTATTGCATGCCAGCATGCAATGGACACTAGAAATGTATGTGAAGCAAACAGGGATGGCTCTGCAAGGTGGTTCCAGTTTATGAAAGCAATACCTTCAAATCAATTAATCTCTATAGTTTTTCAGAGTGTTGTGGCATTATGATGAGAGAACTGTGGTAGACAGAACAATGTTCCCCAAAGATGTTCATGTCCTAATCTCTAGAACCTGTAAATATGCCACTGTACATGGCAAAAGGGATTTTGCAGATGCGAGATTATCATAGACTGTCTGGGTGTGGCCAATGTAATCACAAGGATCCTTAGAAGTGGGAGGCAGTAGGGTCAGAGTCAGATAAGGAGATGTGAGGATGAAAGTAGGGAGAAACAGAAAGAGAGAGAGAGGAAGTGGGGAGGGGGAGGGCGATGAGAGAGATTTTGAAGATGCTACACTTCTGGCTTTGAAGATGGAGGAAGCAGCCATAGCCCTTGGTTGTACCAGGCCCCATAAGCTGGAAAAGGCAAAGAAATGGATTCTTAGAACGTGTAGGAGGAATATAGATCTACTGACATCTTGATCCTAGCTCAGTGAGACTTTTAACCTTGAGGATTGTAGGAGAACATGTGAGTTGTTTTATGTTACAAAATTTGCGGTAATTTTGAGCAGTGATAGGAAACTGATACAAGGACTAAACAGGTGTGGGATGTCTCAGCTGAAAGCACTGGATGAGGAGGCATTTGCCAAACAAAAAGGGCACAGCCCTCCTGCAGGAAGGAACGGCCTGTACTAAAGAGGGAACATAGCAGGCTTCAAGAGTTTAGAGAAATCCACCTAGAATGCATTATGGGAGTGGGAAGATGGTGAAGAATAAGTTTTGCTGGACTTTGAGCTTAATGATATGGATTTCACCATTTAATGTAAAGGTTCCCCACACAGATTTTGTTTCCTCTCCTTCTCACTTTACTTTTGATAGCTTGGTCCCATATCTACCTGAGAAGGCTCCATCTGTACTTTATGGCTCAGCCAGATGCCTCCAAATAAATGAGCTTGACTTTGGTACATGTCATGACACATTCAGGGTTTGCAAGAACAGAAACTCATGTTTTCATAGTGAGATTCACATTCTTCCAATCTGTTGCTTTAATAAGAAAAAGTGGACTCTCGCGTGGTCCCGTGCTGTCGGTGTCGGGAGCGGGAAGCATGGGCGACAGGTGGGAGCTGGGGGCCGCGGCGGGCGGTTCTCTGCTGCTGTGCGCCGCGCTGCTGGCGGCGGGTTGCGCCCTGGGCCTGCTCCTGGGCCGCGGGCGGGGGGCGGCGGACCGCTGGGCGCTGGTCTGGCTCTGCTACGACGCGCTGGTGCACTTCGTGCTGGAAGGCCCTTTTGTCTACTTGTCTTTAGTAGGAAACGTTGCAAATTCCGATGGCTTGATAGCTTCTTTATGGAAGGAATATGGCAGAGCTGATGCGAGATGGCTTTATTTCGATCCAACCATTGTGTCTGTGGAAATTCTGACTGTCGCCCTGGATGGGTCTCTGGCGTTGTTCCTCATTTATGCCATAGTCAAAGAGAAATATTACCGGCATTTCCTGCAGATCACCCTGTGTGTGTGTGAGCTGTACGGCTGCTGGATGACCTTCCTCCCAGAGTGGCTCACCAGGAGCCCCAACCTCAACACCAGCAACTGGCTCTACTGTTGGGTTTACCTGTCTTTTTTTAATGGTGTGTGGGTTCTGATCCCAGGACTGCTACTTTGGCAGTCACGGGTAGAACTCAACAAAATGCATCAGAAAGAAACCAGTTCAGTGAAAAAGTTTCAGTGAATTTTCAAAACCATAAACACTATGCTCTGACTTTTTGAGCCAGAATGAATCAAATGTTTTTGTTTGCCCAAAATGTAATACATTCCAGTCTACGCTTTCTTTTTGTATTTTTGCTCCTGAACAACCTGTTTCAAAGGTTTTAAGGCGACCCGTTTTCATTGTGGTGGTGGTGTCCAATTAAATGGGGAGATGGGGAAAAGAGAACAAGTCAAACTTACAATAATAACACACTTAATTATACATTTTATGTCTGGCATTAATTGTTCCACAATAGTAAAACCAATTGTCTTAGGAAAAAAAAAAAAAAAAAAAAAAAGAAAAAGTGTGTTTCATATCAACATCTGGTAATGACTGAGGGAGTCTGCATGCAGATAGCAGTTCTCCCAGATTCCTATCCCTTTGGGGCATGACATCTTGTTCTAAAATTTACTGCATCCTCTCTGAGCCATTACTTAGATAAAGAGAGTGAGACTGTGATTGCAGCTATGTTACAATATGGCAGAAAAACCCTTGGAATGTAATGTGTGAAAAAATGAAATTAGTTGTTGTGTTATCTGGTAAAGAATGAGGTTTTCATTAGCTATTGGGAAATGTGAATCAAAGCCACAATGAAGCATCATTTATACACACTAAGATGGCCATAATAAAGATAGAGAATAACAAGTGTTGACAAGATGTGGAAAAATTGTAGCTCTCATATATTGCTGATGAGAATGTAACATGACACAGCAGCTTTGGGAAACAGTTTGGCAATTCCTCAAAAAGTTAAACAGTTATTCCATAGCTCAGCAATTCCATTTCTGGGTATATACCTAAGAGAAATGAAAATGTATGTCCACACCAAAACTTGTATATGGATGTTATAGCAGCATTATTCAAAATAGCCAAATGGTGGAAACAATCAAATATTAATCAATGAATGGATGAATGATTAAACAAAATGTGATCAATGAAAAATTAACAATAAAAAGGAATGAAGTACTGATGAATGCTATGCCTTGGATGACTTTTGAAAACATTATGCTAAGTGAAAGAAGCTGGTCACAAGGGTCCACATATGGTATAATCCGATTTATATGAAATGCCTAGAATAGGCAAATGCATAGAGACAAAAAGATTACTTGTCAGAGGCTGGTAGCGAGGGATATGGAGTGACAGCTAATGGATACAAGGTTTCTTCTTAAGATAACGAAAATGTTCTGGAATTAGATACAGGTGATGGCTGCACAATCTTGTGACTATACTAAACAATCACTGAATTGTACACTTTAAAAGAGTAAATTATATGGTCTGTGAATTTTACCGAAAAAAAATGATATCTATAACTTTCAGAAAATATACTAAATATTGTTGCCACATCTTGTTTTCAATAAAACATAAACATAAATGTAGAAGAGCAGTTATGTAGTCAGTTGAAGCTCCATGTATTCAACATGAAGCGAGGGAGGTAGTACCAGCTTCTGGCAGATTCAACAGAAGAGTAAGCAGTCAGCCGTGGAATTTTCTGAGATTGGTTACTGTGGAAATTATATGTCCTGATTATTGCACTTTGAAAGCAAGCACAGAGAAGCTATTAAAAGATTGCTTTTTCAGAAGGGGCAGAGATTTTTAAAACTGCTTAGAATCTTGCAAAATTGCCTGGCCATATCTCACCTGAACAATTAAAAAGCCAACGATTTTCAAGAGCCACTAGAAGTAACAGCAATTCTAGAAACCACCCATCAAATGATATGCTGATGGATCCAAAAGAATGCTGAGCCTAAGAAGCTATCCAACTCTTTGGAGAAATTGGAAATGAATTGAATTACATGGCCTGATGGACCAAAAAAATAACATGTTTTCATTCCTGTAGAACTGGGCAGCTCATGGAAACAGGTGAATTAACACGACCTAGAGGAGCTAACTGTGAATAAGCATTGTACAGTATCAGTTCTCAGCTTGTATTGCTGATAACTTCATCCCTCAGGGGTTTTAGAAACAGCTGGGCAAGCTGGTACTTTGAGGCCCAGATGTAGATGGAGAAGGGGAAAGAGAAGCATTGGACAACAATAACCATGCTGCCTCAGAGTTTAATATAACAAGGCCTTTACTATAGCTAATAATTTGATTCAGGGAAATCTTGGACTGGGCCACCAGACTTTCTGAGCAAAGTATAATTTTTGCTCAAATTGGAACTTCCAGGTGATTCCTTGCTCATTTATTTCACTCGAATAATCATTGATGGGTGATGATGATGATGATGATAAACAAAATAACAATTAGTATTTGTAGAATACACACCAGTTTTGTGTTCTTAGAACAACTCTGTGGGGTGATAGTATCAACCTTCATTTTATGGGTGAGGACACTGAGACTCAAATTCAGAGGTAGCCAGATTTAGCTGCAGAGAAAATGAAGTGAATCAAGTTAGCTAGGCTCTGAACCAGACTGCCTAGGTTTAAATCCCAGCTCTGTTCTGATGTTAAACAAATTATAAAGCCCCTTTTCTTCCTCAGTTTCTTCATCTATCAAGTGGGGATGACGAAAGTGCCTACCTCAAAGAGTTTTTCTGAGGATTTTATGTCATAATTACCTGGAAGGTGCCCAGCACATAGGAGTACAAGTCTAAATAACGTTAGGGATGTGGTCACACAGCTAGGAAGCAACAAAGGTAGGACTTAGGCTAAAGAATTAATTTAGTCAAAAATACTTATTGTGTGCCTATTATGTGTGCCAGGAACTTTGGTCTTTCCTCCATGGCAGCAGAAGAGGGTATAGGTGATCAACGACTCCGTGAGTAAGCCTAGATGCATCAGACAACAGCAGAAGACGAGACTTTATTTTGTAAGCTGTTAAATAAGGTATAGTTTTTATGGTAGGCATTGGAGTGACAGCAGGCCTAGTGACTTGGAACACAGGAATTTATCAGACTTGTATTGTGGATTTGGTGCAACCCAAGGAATGCCAACAGACCAAGGGGCTGCTTTCATTCCAATACATGGTAACTTCGCTGCATTTAGACACTTTTTTTTAGTAGAATATTTAGAATGTTGCAAACTGGAAAGTTCCCAGTCCAGCCTTGGTTCTTTAGCTGGTAAATGGCAGTGTGCTTCTCATTTCAAGCCAGGTATGTTTTCATTTCCGCATGCTACAGTTATTACATGAAACTCAGTTGACTGCTTTTCAAGGTGCATCTCCACAACATCTCCAGGGGAGCAAGGCAGCAGCACTAAGTTAAGACACTCCTATCTACAATCAGACCCTCTTTTTGCTCAAAATCTAAATGTAACCTCCATTAGCATTTCTAGACTTATTTTAGAATTCTTTAAGCAAATAGAATATTAGGAGGAAAAAGCCCTTGAAAGTCCTCTGTCTACCCCAAACATTCATGTCATGCTTAAATCCCATCTACAACACCTCCAGTCTATGCCTAGCTATCACCTGCAGAGACCTTCATGGTTCTGCCTTTAGATTATAATGGACATAAAAATTCTCCATGGAACTGTGTTCACAACCAGTCTCCCTGAAACTTTCATCGTGTCACAGACAAATTCTGCCTCTTTGGTTTTACAAATAATCACCAATACCATGTTATTATCGTTGCTAAGGAAGTATGGGTTGGCATAGCTTTGTTTCTGAGCATCAACACAAAAGTTTGGGTCATATTTTCTCTCTGGCAGATGAGAACTGTGAATATATCCAACTATAACTGGAAAATATTTTAAACTAAAGTTAAACTATTGCCCCCAAAGACATTTTGCAAACCACTTATAGAAACTAGGATTAGGTAGAGAATCCTTCCCCATTGCTTGTTTTGTTGGGTTTGTTAAAGGATTCACTATTCAGTAATTGGTACTGGGATAACTGGCTAGCCATATGTAGAAGATTGCAACTGGACTCTTTCCTTTCACCATGTATAAAAATTAAGGTAGATTAAAGACTTAAATGTAAAACTGAAAACTATAAACACCTTGGAGAAAAACTGAGGCAATACCATTCAGGACATAGGCATGGGCAAAGATCTTGTGACAAAGACAAAACCAGTTGCAACAAAAGCAAAAATTGACAAATGGTATTTAATTAAACTAATGAGCTTCTGCACAGCAAAAGAAACTATCGACAGAGTAAACAGATAACCTATAGAATGGGAGAAAATTTTTGCAATCTGTGCATCTGATAAAGGTCTAATATCCAGCATCTAAAAGGAACTTAAATACATTTGCAAGAAAAAAACAATGCCGTTAAAAAGTGGGTGAAGGATATGAACAGACACTTTTCAAAAGAAAGCACAAATGTGGCTAACAATCTTATGGAGAAAAGCTCTACGTCACTGATGATTAGAGAAATGCAAATCAAAGCCACAATGAGATACCATCTCATACCAGTCAGAATGGCTACTATAAAAAGTAAAAAGGAGAGATGCCAGATGTAGGTGATGGGGAGGAAGGCAGCAAATCACACTGCCACATGTGTACCTATGCAACAATCTTGCATGTTCTTCACATGTACCTCAAAACCTAAAATGCAATAAAATAAAAAAGTAAAAAAATAACAGATGCTTGTTAGGCTGTGGAGAAAAAGGAATGCTTATACACTGTTGGTGGGAGTGTAAATTAGTTGGAACACTGTGGAAGACAATGTGGTGATTCCTCAAAGACCTAAAGACAGAACTACCAACCAACCCAGCAATCCCATCACTGGGTATATACCCAAAGGAATATAAGTCTTTCTGTTATAAAGATACATGCATTTGCATGTTCATTGCAGCACCATTAACGATAGCAAAGACATGGAATCAACCTAAATCACTGTCAATGATAGACTGGATAAAGAAAATGTGGTACATATACACCATGGAATATTATGTAGCCATAAAAGAGAATGAGATCATGTCCTTTTCAGGAACATGGTTATAACTGGAGGCCATAATCCTTAGCAAAACTAACTCAGGAACAGAAAACCAAATACCACTATGTTTTCACTTATAAGTGGGAGCTAAATCATGGGAACTCATGGACACAAAGAAGGGAACAACAGACACTGGGGCCTACCAGAGATCGGAGGGTGAGAGGTATGAGGAGATCAGGAAAAATAACTACTAAGTACTAGGCTTAATACCTGGGTGATGAAATAATCTGTACAGCAAAACACCTGTGAAACAAGTTTACCTATGTAACAAACTTGCACATGTACCCCTGAACCGAAAATAAAATTTAAATTAAAAGAAACCTAGGATTAGTACTCATGGTCTCTAGATTCCTGCTGCTGATGCAGTGAATCAGGTTTCTTCATTTCATGATTTATAAGACAGCT